GATCCATCTCCCCAGTCCCTTGAGCTCATTTTCCCCTGTTTTGACCCTTCTTCCTCTCTTTCCCCTGATGGATGCCTTGGATCTATGTCATTTTGCAAGTTTTGTCTTTTCCTGATCCTTTGTAAACCTATCATCTTTAAGAACAATTCTGGGAGGAAGAGCAAAATTAGAGTAACTTCGTTCCCCAAGATACTATAGAAAATTACTGACTGACAGATGTGCTATCCCTTAAGGTTACGCTTCATCAAGAAAATGATTTCTGACATTATGGAATAAATTTGAAGGTCTTTGGAGGCATCTTTAGATTTTGGTGAAAATGTGCATTATATTTTTGATGTTATTTTAAGAAGAAAATGTGCATAATGTTAACTTTTATAACAAATTTGAAATACATTAAATGTTGAGTTTCTAGAAATTTTCTAAATAAAATATTTTCCAAGTTTTAAATGAAATCTTTGGACTTGTTTCTCTACAGGGAGTTTAAATATATAAGTTTTAAATATGAGTTTTTATTTTTTATTTTATTTTTTTAAAAGATTTATTTATACAAGCACTGGGTACAGTCAGAAGTGCGGGAGGGTGAGAGAATTTACCAGAGCCAGAGCGTGGAACAGAACAGGCAGACTGCCAAAGTACACTGCTGAGGGAAGCAGCGGGCGCCAGGAGAGGTCTGTGCGCCATGTGGGACCCTCGCCTGGCGGCCGGGGATCGAACCGGCGCTGCGCTGCAGAGGCTGTGGGCAGCCTCGCAACACAGCGCTCAACCGCTGCGCCACCAGGGAGGCCCTTAAATATGAGTTTTTAAACGTGGTATATTTCATGCAATTGCTAGTCAAAGACTTGAATGATGATCTCTTCAAATTATAGGCATTCACCATTGATGAGAAATTTTCTTTGCATAAATACATGGTAGCAAATTGCAGAAGGTATACATATGTATTTTTTTTCTTCTTTGTGATTTTAACCAGAATTTAGATAATTCACTTTCTTTGGAACTTACGTAAAGGTATGATTATTCTTCAACCTCACAGCTCTTCCTTTTTTGCATTGACAAATGTAATGCTGAAAGGTCTTGTGAGGAAACTTTTTGCAACATTACATTAACCTCTAATCAAGGATTTTAAAATGATTTAAGATTTTCCTCAAGCATACACTGATGTTGCGTTATCAGTTTTAACAAATATTCCTCAGAATTCAGATAGTAGTAAAATAGGCTATACATTACAAATAAGCCTGTCTTAAGCTCACATTTTTTCAAAGTTGTATCTTTTATTTTGAATCTGTGTTAATACATCACTGTTTTTTCTCCCACATTCCTCCTTTATCCCTGCCCTTTGGGTAATTTCCACTCAGCCATCAAGTGTCAACTTAGACGCTACTTTTTCCTGAAGATTCCCCTGTCACCTCCCATCTGCCTTCACCCTGACTGGGACATATGCTTCTACCTGTGCTCTGATAGCATGATGTGTCTGCTCCACATTAACACTTCATGTACTAAATTAAAATAGTCTGTTCAAAGAGGTCAGGAAAAAGACAGGACTTGCAAGCTGACCATAGATCTGAAGCATCCAACAGGGAGGAGGAAGGAGAGGGGTTAAAACAGGGGAGGGAAGAAAACAAGGAACTATTGCGATGCTTCACAGGTGCCATGGTGATGGGAGAACTACAGGAACTATACCTGAGGAGAAATCAAATATAGTTCAAAAATCAACAATGATGTAAGAAAATAAACATAAAAACCAAATAGTTTGTTCACTCATCTATTTCCCCCTACAGCATAAGTGCTGTAAGAACTTATCATGTCTTGAGGGGGAAATAAGTGTAGGTAGCCCTAGAAAATTCTCCCAGTTCAACTTTTTTATCTTATAGATAAAGGAACTGAAACCAGAGAGCTGAAGTGACCTACATAAGGACACATAACTAATTAGTGGCAAAACTGAGGTTGGAATGTACATCTCATTGCCTGTTTGTTCCAAAATGTTATACTTGCTGAGTTCTTGTGAGGTAAAAAAATTAATTTATTTTTGATATGCTAAGTTCCGAAGTGGGCAAATGCATGTTAGGGAGGTTTTTAATACTCAGTATCAAAAGGATTTTTCTGTTCACTCTTAACTAGGAAATTCAGTTAACCATTAGCTTCCTTTCCATCCAATGCTTGGGTGGGTGGAAACTTTACCTGTTTTACCCTTAAGTGTAAAGTGACCACTAGAAGGCAGCAGAATACAAGTGGATAGCTAAGACCGTGTTCTGCCATACAGTGGAAATTTGTAGGGCTAAGATTTTTGAGTATTTGGGAAGCATAAGTGGAGACATGACAGAGAGGGATAGGATAAATCAGTGAGAATGAGGGAAACTATTTTCAGGGTCATGGGTCTTATTTTTTGCCATGGTTTTCCATCATCAGAAATTGTATATCTACTATCTTGTAAGTATCTCTGAGACTCAGCACAAAGGAAAGGAGAAAAAAGTTAACTGTTCCATGTACTCATTTTCTAAAAGGCACAACAGTAGTCATTTGGTGTCATTTACTCTTTTTCTCCAAGTTTTAAAGAGTAGCCTAAGCTTAAAAGGTGTGGAGATGATAGAGTTGCTGTTAAGCAGTTACCTATCCAGAGCTGAGGGCTCATGTTGAGAAATGATGGAAAACAAGTAAGTAGGCTTGGGGGCCCATATTGTAAGTAGTGTGGAGTGGAAACTAGAGGAATTTGCATTTGTTGACTCTGAGGAGCAGAGTGAAAGACTAGTGGAAATGAGAGAAAAAAGGGAAAATCCACCACCTTTATACACTTCTTCATTGCTTGAAATTTGTTATAACCACGTTATTTTTGTAAGCAAGAAAATTGAGACAAAAGCACTCAACAAATACTTGAGTTCTACTCTATGCTGTGTATTGTACTACTACTTATTCCCAATTGTGTAAAGAACCTCAGAAACACACCTAAGTTGAACAAAGATGGGTTTATTGGCTTTTTCCCAATGAGGGAGAACGTATATCATGAGGACATGGGCATCTTAGTAGGAAGATGTTAGAAAAGGTGTTTCTTATATGATTTGGGCTTGTGTTGACTTTGGGGAGAATTTAAGGAAATAGGGGTTTTCTCTGGATGCTGTGAGTGCATATTGTAATTTTTATCTAGAAGGCACTTGGGCTAAAGCTAGAAAAGAGGTTACTGCCACTCCTATTAGCTTAGAGGAGGATGTTTGGACCTTTTTTTTGTGGTTGGGACAGTGTTCTTGATCTTGTCTGTGCTCACGTATGATTGTAAAGTGGTCCTGCTTGTCTTGAACCATCATGCTCACATAGTGGACTTGTGTGAGTCTGACATCTGTCAGTGTTCAAAAGGAAAACGCCATTGTCTGGCTGAAATTGCCAGGCTGGTTCCTGGCCACACCGAGATCTGATAGTGCCAGGGAGTTCCCAGCTGCCTGGGGCTGCTTTCCTCTCTGTCATTATGTATGGGGATCTAGAAGTGAAAAAAGCTATTTCTCTCAAGAGGAAGTAACTACAATTATCATTGTTTATAGTAATAGAAGTGTTAAATGCAAATTCAGGAAATTATTGTTTAACATGTATCCAAGTTTTATTGTAAACATATAACAAAGGAGATATACCTCTAATAAAATTTGTTGTAAAAGTTCCATCTAGTCAAAAGAATCCCTCCCCCCTTCCCATTCTTGTAGTAGTGAGAAAAGGTGATTATATAAGATTATTAGATTAGGTATAACACAGGAGTGCATGTTAAAGCTTACAGGAAGATCTTATGACTATTTAAAAGACACCGAAGCTTTAATATACATTAAACATGTGCATTCTTTTTGTGTATCAATTATACCTAATTAGGAGAAAAAAATAGTCACTGAACCTTTATCTTAAGACAAGTCTAGATTTGTCCCAAAACTGATGTTTTAGGTTTATGTTTAAGTCTTTCAGGAAAATCCAACTTCCCTCATATATCAATCCCATTTTATCATTCTAGTAAGTGCAGCCTTAAAAAAAAATTTCACTGGGCCTCCCTAGTGGCACAGGAGGTTGAGCACGTGCTGTGAAGCTCTCCGCAGCCTCTGCAGAGTAGGTTCAATTCCCGGCTGGCCAGGGAGAAACCCACATGGCACTGCAGACCTCTCTTGCCTCCCCTGCTGCTCCCCTCAGCAGTGTCTTTGGTCCGTCTGCCTGTTTTGCTCCCTGCTCTGTCTCTGGTGAATTCTCTCACCCTCCCGCACCTCTGACCTGTACCCCAGTTCTTGTGTAACAGGGTGGTCCCAGGAAAGGGGGAGGTTCCCTGCCCCACCCAAGGGAGGGTGGAGCTGAGCAGGAAGAGGAGAAGCTGCAGAAGAGACTGAGGAAGGAAGCAGGATGGAGCCAGGAGACCTGGAGGAGGCGCATGGAGCCTAGAGACACGTGAAGAAACTGCGCTTGTCTTTTGGTCGTAGACTGGGTGACACAGATGTGGGTGAGACCCGTGGGGAGGTGACAATGGCAGTTTTTATCTTGATGTTGATTTTGCTCTTTTCCTTCCGGGCTTGTCTGGTTGTTTCTGACCCTTTTCTGTGGGTCCCCACTGGAAGATGTTTTAGACTTGTGGTAGACTTTGGGGCCTTGTTCTGGGCCGATCCCATTTGGATGGACTTTTACCCACGAGGGGACGGGTAACTTTGGGTGCTTCATTTAGAAACTAGACTCTTTGCCTTACCTGTATTGTTTCCTAGTTTTATTAAAGTTCCTTCCCATTAAAGTCTTATATGTTTTGTGTTGATGCGGCGGATGGCAGAACCCATTTAGAATAGGCAGGTTTGCGGGGTTTGGGCTGCCCCTCTCCCTGTCCTATAACACTTGTATTAATAAATAAATCTTAAAAATAAAATTTCACTGCCAGCTGAAGTCTAATGATTTAAGACTTCACTAGTCAACATAGGTACTTAAGGTGGGCACATTTCCAGGAAAAAAAAATATGGCCTCTATTCAGAGTGAAGACTAAAAGACCTTTGAAAGAACCTACATCTTCACCTTATTCTTTATTAGAACTTGGAAGTATGGTATGCCTTTAGTTCATGAATTTTGACTATTTCTCATTCCAAGTAAGACATTTCGTAAGGCAAGTTTCATGTCCTTATTACGAAGACTATAGATCAAGGGATTAAAGAGAGGAGTCATTACTGAATATATCAGTGTGAGAATCTTCTGCATCAAAATTGGGATGCCATATGTGGGACTCACATACATTACCATGACGGTCCCATAGAAAAGAGACACCACAGCTAGATGGGAACCGCAGGTGGAAAAGGCCTTTCTCCGCCCAGCTGCCGAAGGGACGCGAAAAACTGTTCTGAGCAACAGGGCATAAGATCGAAGAATGTACATCACAGTGAAAAAAAGGACAAGGGAACTCTGAGTGTAGAAAATAAATTCAGTAATGGGGGCTGGAGCACAGGACAGAGCCATCAGTGGGTCCATATCACACAAGAAGTGATCGATAATATTGGGACCACAAAAGGGGAGTTGGGAAATAAAGAAAATGGGGATTGGGTAGCCAAGGAATCCAATGAGCCAGCAGACAGATACCAGCACTCTACACAGCTTCCCAGTCATGATAGTGGGGTAGTGCAGTGGGCAGCAAATGGCTAGGTACCGATCATATGCCATTACAGCCAGGAAGAGACATTCAGTCGTGCCCAAGGAAAAGAAGAAATAGAACTGGAGGAAGCAGCCAGAAAATGAGATAGTCTTGGTTTTGGAGAGAATGTTGGCTAGCATGTTAGGAACAGTGGAGGAAACATACCAGATCTCAAGGAAGGCAAAATTTCCCAGCAGAAAATACATGGGGGTGTGTAGTCGTGAGTCCCTTCTCACTGCACAGATAATGGCTCCATTCCCCAGCAAGGTCAAGATATAAACAACCAAAAACAGCGAGAAGAGGAAAATCTGTGTCTCCCAACAACCAGGGAATCCCAGGAGAACAAACTCAGTCACACTGTGTGCTGACTTGTTCATGGAGCTTAAATCTAAGAAGAAGAAAAAAGACATAAATGTAACCAAGTAGTTTGACTTGCTGCATAGCTCAAGCACTCTATTGAGAAAAGAACTTAAACTCTACAGGAAAATACATGAGATATTCTGAGACTAGGTGGGAATAGACCCCACCTTATTTTGAATTCATTGTGGTTCTAAATCTCAGTATTATTTTGCTAGAATCCAGTGCAGCAAGAATTTTCCCCATCAGTGATACAAACAAATATCTTCATTTTTCTTTTCAACCTTAAGAAGACGACTTTTTCTGATTTTTGAAAATATTGCTCAGATGGGTCCTCATGCAAAAACTTGAAGCACTTCTTACTCAGCTTACCTTGTTTAAAAAAAGACATGTTTTTGAGGACAGCTGGTATGAAGTTAGGTTGGACCTTGGGCAACAGAGCAGACATAGTTGACTTACACCTGGAAGCAAAACTTACCCCAGGATATTGGCTTTTCAGAATAGTGTAATGAACTGAATTGATTGTCCCAGATATCACAGATATTCACTGAAGACTCAAAGCTCGTTATTATTTTCCTTTACAGATTTTCTTTTTTAGAATTAGCTTAATGACACCCAAAAAAATGTACAGAACACTCAAAGAATAAGTGAGACTATTTGTCTTAAAATATCTTTGTTTTCAAGTGTTTATTTTCACATACTTTATAAATATGAACCATCTTGCTATACATAGTCAGATCTTACCTAGGTAAAGATAAGGAAAATGGCATTTTCTGTTGCTAAGGTTTAGTTTATTTATTTATTTTTATTTAGTTCCAATTGGGTTAGTGCTTTTAGTAAGTATTTTTGGGTGATAAAGACAAAAGGATCTGAGATCAAATGGAGATTTATCTGCAATTTTAACTGGTAGAATGAATTTTGTTCTCTGAGGAGAAGAGAGGATATTCAAATATGATTAATGTATAAAAAAACACCAATTAAGAGTTTAAAATGGTAGTTTCAATATTAATTTGTCTTGTTAAATTCCAATTCTTTGTCATGTATATCAGATGTCACCAGTTGTAACTTTGTCAGGAATTAAAGAGAAAGAAATTTGAAAGGCAAAAGAGGACAAATAAAATTCTTGAAAGAAGGATCTTGTATGATTCTTGGGAACCAAGATTTGGACTCTAATATTGTTAGTTCCTGTTGGTGATTTTTTAAGGAAGCATAAAAAAATGAGATTTAAACAATAAAGTTCTGCAGGTGTCCAGTTTTTCAATCAATGCTAAATTCAAGACATTTGTTTGCAATCTGCCCTGAGGTGTTCACTAGATAATTTCCAGACTGTCATTTACAGAGCATAAAACAAGCTCTCACTGCTGCCTGACAGGAACTAAGTCTAGGCTCACAGATTTAAACCAGAAACCAGAATCTGGGCCTCCCTGGTGGCTCAAGGGGTTAAGACACAGTACTATGAAGCTACCACAGCCACTGCAGCATGAGTTCGATCCCCAGCTAGGGAGGTGACTCACATGGTGCAGAAGACCTCTCCTGACTCGCCTGCTGCTCCCCTCAGCAGTATATTTTAGTCAATCCGCCTGTTCTGTTCCCCACTCTGTCTCTGGTGAATCCTCTCATCCCGCACACTTCTGGACTGTACTCCAGTTCTTGTATGCATAAATAAATAAATCTTTAAAAAAAAAAGAAAAACCAGAATCATCATGAGTTCTATGCTTTCTGTATTTCTCTCTGAAGAAGGGACCATGCTTGCTTAATGTGAATTAGAGGTTAGGACACTCTCCACTATACTGGAAACTTCATTTATCTTTTCTACCACCATGCCCTGTGAAATTTATTAGCAGCAACATCAATTTTCTAGTAGCCTTTGGTGAGAGTGTAGGTAAGTAATAGGATGATCAAAGTATGGGGGTGCTAAATGGAAAAGTTGGTGTAGTCAATTTTCATTTTAACCATTGTTGGAATAAACTGACTCTATAAAGTTCTATATAACAGCACCCCCCGAGCCCTCTAATATAATGTGCTGGGAATAATTGGGTTATTAGAATTGAATATAAACCATTTTATGCCATAAACACATTGTTTCCCATGTTTTGTGGTTCATAAATCATTATATGAGCTACAATCCCAGGGGACCAAATCATTCATATACTCTCTTTCAATACAAGAAATCAACCAACCAATCAACTCACCAGTCTACTTACCTCAAGAGCAATAGCTTGTTTAAATAGCCTCTTTCCAAATGTCCCTTACTTGGTATACTGTCTTCTCAGATAGGTGGACAGGAGAATTCTGATTATTCCTGGAAAATGAGATTATTTTCACAAAGGTGGTGCCTAATAATCATAAATCATAAACCTCAAAAACATGGTACAGATGATCTATTATAACTGTGCATTTTACAGATGGGCCTCAGAAAGGATGTATGACTTCTTACTCAGTAAATTTGTGTCCTATATTCACTAGTGAAATGTCTACAGAGTAACAATGACTGGTCAGATTTTACAAACTAAAAGACCCTGTACTATATCAAAGTACTGGTTGTAAGGGGAAAATTAGTCCTTTCTTTTACATATGATGATGGATTTCCTGGCTCGGCTTAGAGAGAGGTTTGGGCATAGAGTAGCTTAACATAACTTCAGCATCAGACATCTCCTCCTCATTGGCTCTGATGAGGAAAACTCCAGATGAGTGTGTCATCTGAGGTTCATTGGACTACCTTCACTACTGGAGGCTCCAAAGTCTTGTTTTCTAAGAGTCTGTTGAGATATTTAACATATGAAGTGGTGTTTAATTTGTGTTTCCTCTCAGGGATTTCTCTAAACTCATGTCTGTCCCCTGTGGTCCCTGGCTTTCTCAAGTTTTCCCTGGTGTGCATCCTCTCTCCAATCTTTGGAGCTCATTCAGGTTTTAGTAGATTAGCACCTAAGGGGTGGCTAGTGTTAAGGAAACAGAGAACCTAGGTGGAAATAGGGGAAATTTCAGGAAACTTTCTTTTGCAGGGATTACATTCCATTGGGGATCAGCAAAATAAATGGAAGTTTTGCCCATGACTCTAATTCTGAAAACAAGATGTGTTTGTGAATAAATATTTCATTTAAACTAAAGAGGTTTTTGAACTAAATTCAAAAAGATAAACTGAAAATGATATTCTTTGGGCCACTTTAAAATTAAATGTATTAATTTTTTCCGGATTTCTTTTTTTTAGTGTTAAGTAAGATCTTCCTTGTGTGATGTGATCATGATTTGGAGTGAGCTTACTTGATGTGGAACAAAGGCCAAGATGACAGAAGTCTCTAAATTGACTATTTTGCTCAAATCGTCACTTTCAACTTTGACCTCACTCTCTAAGAGTGGGGAATTGGAAACCAATGCAAATGTGAGTTTGAAATTTTAAGAAATCATTTGGTCTGTTTTCTTCTAAAAAATTATGGTCAACTAATCTTTGACAAAGGAGCAAAGAATATGCATTGGAGCAAAGAAAGTTTGTTCAATAAATGGTGCTGGGAAAACTGGGTTGCTACATGCAAAAGAATGAAGCTTGACTACTACCTAACACCATGCACAAAAACCAACTCAAAATGGATTAAAGAACTAGACATAAGACCTGAAACCATAAAATACATAGAAGGAAATATAGGCGAAACACTCCATGATATGCACATCAAAGACATCTTTACAGACACATCACCCAAAGCAGTGATAGTGAAGGCAAAGATCAACAGCTGGGACTACATCAAATTAAAGAGCTTCTGCACAGCAAAAGAGACAATAACAAAAACAAAGAGAAACCCCACCGACTGGGAGAACATTTTTGCACACAACACTAACCATAAAGGACTGATCACAAAAATCTACAAAGAGCTGATGAGACTTAACAAAAACAAAGAAAATAATCCAGTCAAAAAATGGGCAGAAGAGCTAAAAAGAAATTTCTCTGAAGAGGAAATGCAAATGGCCAACAGGCATATGAAAAAATGTTCACCATCACTTGTAATCAGGGAAATGCAAATCAAAACTACCATGAGATACCATCTTACACCAGTGAAAATGGCACATATTAAAAAAACTAGCAACAAATGTTGGTGAGGTTGTGAAGAAAAAGGAACTCTCCTGCACTGTTGGTGGGAGTGCAAACTGGTCCAACCACTATGGAGAGCTGTGTGGAGATTTCTTGACCTACTAAACATAGAGCTTCCATTTGATCCAGCAATTCCACTCCTAGGTATTTACCCAAAGGACACAGAAACATCAATTCCAAAGAGCACCTGCACCCCTATGTTTGTAGCAGCACTATTTACAATAGCTAAGCTCTGGAAACAATCCAAATGCCCAAAAATAGATGACTGGATCAAGAAGATGTGGTACATATACACCATGGAATATAACTCAGCCTTCAAAAAAGATAAACACATGCAGTTTGCAGTAACATGGATGGAGCTGGAAGGGATCATGCTCAGCGAAATAAGCCAGAAAGAAAAAGAAAAATACCGGATGGTCTCACTCTAGCAGGAATCTAGAAAACTTAAATAAGGGACCAGGAAAAAGAATAACTATAAGAAAGAAAATATCAAAATCAACAAACAACTATGAACCAGAGACACTCTATGGAGTGTGGGGGGCGGGGAAAGGAGGGATTGGGGTCAAAATAAGGGGGTTGTAATTGTATGGGGAATATAAAAATAAAATTTAAATGAAAACAAAACAAAACAAAACAAGTCAGAATTGACCAAAAAAAAAAATGGGGTTCTTCCTAGAGTCCTCTTAAACCACATCTTGAAAATACGACTCCTAGGAAAAGATGATAGTAATGATCTGACTGATGGTAACTGGGGCAAGTTATAAGTGAACTTGATTTCAGTGATACCTGGTGCCATTTCCATGAGTATTATTGACTTCCTTGTCAAATAGTACATGTAAGAATGTATGTCTTGGCACTGGATTTTGTTCCATTGGCCTATGTATCTATTTTTATGCCAGTACCATACTGTTTTGATTATTAAAGCTTCGTAATATGGTCTGAAATTGGGAAGTGTGATGCCCGAAGTGGTAATTGTTTCA